CTTACATATTTGTCAATATATTACTACTGATATCATTTTCTTAATCACCATCAACACAATAAATTAAATGCCAAAACATCTCATTTGTCTGTCAAAACAATTGATTAATAATGATATAATTTCCTTAACTATCGTTAACATGGTAAATTAAATATTTAAACATCTTATATGTTTGTTAATAAAATTGACAAGTATAAACGGTGAAGTGTTTTTACTTAATTCAATTCATCTCTTTTTTAAATTTGATTTATAAATTCTTGTTCAAAATTGAGCCATTCATCATGTCCATCTCAAAATATAATTTCCACGATTTCCATTTCTAAATCTAGTTAACAATGATATAACATTTTTTTTTTAAAAAAGTAAATAAATAGAATAAGGTGTTAAGTACCTCCCTGCTTCTTCAATAGACTTAGCTCCTTCTGCTACTTTTCCAACTCCTTGTGTATCTCCTAATTTCAAAAAGGAAATACAACACAAAATCAATATATCCCCTCAAATTAACTTATATAATATTCAAGTCAAACCATTTTTTATTTATTACAAATATATTTTATTTTTTCTTAACAAAATACTAAACACGCAAATATCATATATATATTATCCATAAATTCTATCTTTATAAAATCCCACAAACTCATAACTATCCAAAATCATATTTGAAACTTTCATATATAATTTCAACTACGTAAACACAAAAATTTTAATATATAAAATGAGTGTTCTTTTTCAACCATCATTATTTTATTAATATTACAAGATTAATCATAATTGATAAAATTTATTATCAACTATCCAATTGCTTTCAAAATCATATTCTTGGCAGATCATAAGATTCATTGCGTTATCATGGTTATTCTTTGGTTGTTCATGAATTTACATTAAAAACAAGCTAATCTAACTAAATCCATCTATTATAAATCAATAACACAATTTCCTTTCAAAATCACACATATACCTTAATTCACAATATACTAATAAAATCAATTAGATTCTGGAAAAGTAATTTAATTCATTTCTAATCATCATGGTCAACAACACACCTTAATTTCATGCAATTTTTAAACTTTTAACTCAAACAAACAACTTCTAATTAGAAACAAACATGGCCGGCCGTAGCCCTTCATTACCACCATGATTCCTACTTTATTTTCCCATGATTTTGCATCACAACTTATTCCATCCTAATTGCTTCAATTACACCTGATTTTGCAATTTTTCTAAATTTCAAACAATGAATCCTACCTTAGATTTTGAGAAAAATTTTTTTTATCAAAACCATTAATAAATTAATTTCCGCCAAACTTGGATGAATGGGCTTGAAACACCTTGCCAATTGATTATATCAACTTCGAATGCCTTTGAGTCGAGTCTCCACTAATCCTTCTTCTTCTTCCTTCCTTTTTCCTAGTTTTTCTCTCTAAAACTATACTTTTCTTCTCACTTTAATTGCTCACAATTCTTGTGTATTATGTGTTCATCTCCAATAATCTTACTTATTAATGTCTCAAGAATTTAATTTACCTCAGAAATTTAGAGAAAAGTAAGGAAGAAAACAAAAAGAATGCCCTTTCCTCCCTGACCGACTACTTTAAACAAGAGAGGGGCTAGAGTTTTTTTTTTAAATAAAGTTTTTCTATTAATGTTCATTTTCTTTTAAATAATTCCAGGTATCTTTCCCT